CTGAGTAGTTTGTTGGAGATGAGTCTCATAAACTCTCCTTGGGCTGGCTTTGAATCATGATCTTTGGATCCTTTGGATCTCAGCCTCCTGAATGGCTAGGATTATAGGTGTGAGCCACCAGTGCCCAGTTTGTATAAACTTTTAATGTGCATTCTCTCTTCCACAAAAAAAAAAACTTCAAACATTTCTCTTGCCTTTTATTAAAAAGGAATAGTTTTTTCAAAAAAAATTTTCCACTTACAAAGTCTCACACAGTCATTTTTGTTGTTGTTATTTGTTTTGTTTTGTCGGTTGTGGGGCTTGAACTCTGGGCCTAGGCACTATCCCTGAGCTCTTCAGCTCAATGTAAGTGCTCTACCACTTGAGCCACAGCACCACTTCCTCACACAGTCATTTTTGTAGTATAACTCTTATTGAAAAAATAAAAGAAAATCAAGAGATTGTTCTTGTAATTATGGGTGGAATGGAAATCCCATGTCCTTCATCCTCAAGACAGAACAGGTTGCATGCCTGAGGCCCTGGGTTCGATTCCTCAGCACCACATGAACAGAAAAAGCCGGAAGTGGCACTGTGGCTCAAGTGGTAGAGTGCTAGCCTTGAGGTAAAGAGCTGAGAGACAGTGCCCAGGCCCAGAGTTCAGGCCCCACAATTGACAAAAAAAAAAAAACCCAAAAACAAGACAGAACAGGGTCCATTCCATATCTGATTTACTGGGAAAGCTAGAGATTTGTTGTTCCTTCTCTCCCTCCCTCCCTCCCTTTGTTTTTTCCTTTCTTCTGGTTTCACCTTGTTGCCTGTGTACTGTCCCTTAGCTTTTTCACTCAAGGCTGGCACTCTATCACTTGAGCAATGGAAGGTCTACTTCTAGCTTTTTGGTGGTTAATTGGAGATAACAATCTCATGGACTTTTCCTGCCTGGCTGGCTTCAAACCAGGATCCTCAGATCTCAGCCTCTTGACTAGCTAGGACTGTAGGTGTGAGCCACCATGCTCAGCTGTTTTCTGACTAAAATTTTCTTCCCACTAGTTGACGTAGTATCCTAATGTCTTCACTTTTGTTCCCATGAAATAAACATTGGGAAACCTATGTTCTTCATCTTGTTACCAAAATGTTTCAGAGTTGGATGGTTAAATGTGATCCTTGAGACTTTATAAAACTAGTGTGTGCTGAGTATTTTTTTGTTTTGTTTTCTGGGGTTTGAACTTAGGGCCTTGAGCTTGCTAGGGCAAACACTTTATTACATGAGCTATACCTCTACCCAGAGCATGTTTCTTTAAGGGCATAATATTCAAGAATATTTGTCTGGAGCACTAGTAGAAGCCATAGCAAAAACAAAAAACACAACAAAACTGTTGTCCCTCTTGTTAACCACGGAAATAAAAACAGCTAGAAAAATAGGATGTGGCCTGATCATATGCCATATTAGACTGCTTGCTAAGCAGGTGTACTGCCTCATACTTGGCTCTATCACTTAAGTTACGCTTCTAAACCCAATTTTGCTTTAGTTATTTTTCTGATGGGGTCTTGTGTGTTTTGGCTGGGGCTGGTCTTGGACCATGATCTACCTGTGGTATCCAGGTCTGGTATATTTGTTGAGATGGGGCACCCAGTAACTTTTACCCTAGCTGGACTTAAACTCTGCATCCAGAGTAGCTGGGATTAACAGGCTTGAATCACTATACCCTGCCAAGAAATATGCTTTTTTTTTGTTTTTTTTAAAGATCATTAGTAGATTTAAAACAAGATCAGCTACAGAATTATTTCAAGAGCATAAAAGCACAAGGTGGTAGAATAGCTGGTATTGATTTCAGAGACAACTAAAATCCTGCTCAGGGCAATTTTTCTCCAGTGTAATATTTGTCCACTCCTGTTTTATTAGGAATGACAAGTGGCAGTAACCGGAGAAGTGTTTCATCTCACATAAAAAGTCAGATCAATGAAGAGTCCAAGAAAGATACAATCCATCTAGACTGTTTGATCCAGGGCTCAGAGGATGATTGTGTAGCACTTCCTTTGGCCACTTCAACCCCTGCTGGTCTCCAGGAACCTAGACTTTCTCCTCAGTCCGTTGAGACTCCTGGCCCCAACAGTATGGGAACTCCATTTTTGACAGTTCTGTCTTTGCCCCAATCTGAAACCCCTGTCTCTACTGGAGAGAGTAAAGCGTCATTGGCTTTTTCCTCTGCCCAGGACTTGGAAAGTTCTTGTTTGCTAGACCTAAAGGAGGGCAAGGGGGATTCTCCCCACAAACTGAAAAGGCTTCATGGATCTAAGACCAACTATCCGGGCACAAAGGGACATACCACCCCACCTGGGGGGAAATGTCATCAACCTCTGGACAAAGGAAAACGAGAAAGGAAATTGTCTGCTAAAGAAAACAGGCAAGCCTGTAAGAACCTTCAAACTTACAGGGAATCCTTGATTGGAGAAGAAAATACAGAATCAGTGAAACAAAGTCCTTGTTCTCTGTCTGCAATTTCCCAGAAGAGTGAAAAGCATGACAAGGACTCCTGGAGTCAGCTTTTCACTGAAGACTCTCAAGGCCAGAGGGTCATTGCCCACAACAGAGCTCCTTTTCAAGATGTAACCAACGCCTGGAATCAGGGTTTAGAGCAGTGTCCTGAGCAGCATCCTCACAGCCCTAAAGCTCAGTGCCAAGATGGGCCCACTCAGTTGCATCTGCAGCCCAGTTTGCTCTTTACCCAGGACTCTGAAGGTAACCAAGTTATGAGGCACCAGTTTAAAATGCTTATATGAAGGGGTTTGGTTCTAAAGGTGCCCTGAAATTGCAGGGTGCAGGAAAGTTATCTTGTAAGGTGGAGGTGTTGGGGCAGATGAGGGTTTAGGAGGAAAGTGGGTATGGGATGAAGCTGTTGTCATTATTGAGCACTTTGTGTAAATAAAGCAGGCAGTCAGTGCCACTGTTTGAGACAGTGTGGTTGGCATCATGCTTCTCCGTCAGGAAGAAGGCGGGTGATTCCCAAATGAGGCTGTGAACACTGAGGAGGGAGGGTAGGGAACAGATCTTTCTACCCAAGAGCCTGCTGTTCAGTCTGCTCAGCGCTACCTCTGTCCTTTCAGATGCTCACTGGGGTCCTTGCTTTGCGTACGTGTGGTTCTTTTCATCTCTGGTGCTAATTTTGCTCACTTACCCCAAGCTTGGAACATTATTATTTTTGATTCCATTTTGAAAGAGAAGGCAAATCTCCAACCTAGATGTTCAGTAGGGGTCAAGAGGACATTGAGAGGGAGAATAGTGATGGTCTTATTCTTTAGTTATTTTATTTATGTGGTAACTACATTTCACTGTTAGGTACTTTATTTAAATATCTCTCCCTAAAAAGCCTGAGCTTTAAAACAATCTTGATATAACTGTATTATTCCTCCCCCACAGGTAGGAGGGGATCCCTTTTGTAAATCTATGAATCCAAGTTAATGTCTGTAAAGTGCCTTATGGGGTAATTAAAACATTACCAATTTTATTTTTGAAAAGGTAGCTTTTGGAGTGGAGGCATGGCTCAAGTGGTAGAGCACTTGCCTTGCAAACCCCAGTACTGCCAAAAAAAAAATCATACAAAAAGCAACTTTTTAATAATATATGCTCTGCCATTGCTCTGTATCCAATCTGATTGAGAAGTCTAATTTATTAGCCTGTGATCACCCACCAGGTGACAGTTTCTCAGATTGCAGGTGTGGTACCTGACACTTGACCAACTTCTAGAGGGCAAACCTGCATGTTATCACATGTAACTGCCAGGACACAACATCTTTGGAAAGGACAGGGCAGGACTGTATCAGGTCCTGTGTAAGAGTTTCATATATCTTCAAACAATGGGAATCTCCCACCCCTAAATGGATACTGGGTGTTCACAACTCAAGGATTGACCTCCCTTTTTCCCCCACCAAAAAAAAAAAAAAAAAAAAAAAAAAAAAGGAAGCACTATTTCTCTAAATCCTTCATTTAATGTCAGGTTGTGCTTCAACCCAAGCACACATAGTATACATACTATAGAGAAAGGGCCCCAAGGGCAACTGAGTCATGCATGATGCAGTAGGTCCAAACCTTAGCCCAACCCAAGGGAACTGTCAATCCAGGGCCTGAAAAGGGATGGAATGCTTGTTCCTTCCCCATTTCTCTTTTCCTGCTAGACTTAAGCTAAAGTCCATGGAATAAGTTTCCAATCAGTAGAAGTGATGAGGGCCCAGGGCCTTGGAGGGTTGATTTGGTTGTATAGCATTATAAAATATGTTTAAGAAAAAAATATTCCAGACCTCCAAGCTGTAGCCCAATTATTGGCTGGTCCAATGGTCTGACCTCTACATCTAGACAGGGAAAGGGTAATTTTTGGGCATTGGTGTAAATTGATGAAGGAGCAGCATTAGGTCATCCCTGTCCTGTGAACATGTACACAGACTTAGAGCCCCTTCTCCTCAGCCCTACTCTGCTGCAAAGAAGCGGCTGAGAGTGAGTGACAGCTGTGCAAGGGTCTGTCCAGACACTTATTGGATCTAATGCAGTGAAGTAAAGTCATTCATTTAGGACCTGTTTTCACACAGGGGCAAGGAAAAGCAAGAAACTTTGACTTCGCCCCTTAAACATACACACTCTACCCTCCACAATTACCTGAAAAATGTCTCAGTTCAAACCTAGCTCTGCTAAGGTTGAAGTATGAAACACACATAATCCAACTCTTCTCTTTCAGTCCAAATTCTAGCTTGTCAGCAAGACTGTTGCAGAAGATTTCTGAGAGGCAGAATCCTCTGCAATGAGGAAGGCAGCTATTGAAGGAATTCCAGGAGCATTAGACTGAGTTTTGCAGAGCAGGATACCGTCAGTTTCCTTTTCTACTGATATCTTCTTCTTTCAGAGCAAATTTCCTCCTCAGGACCTCAGAGATAAGCACGGCAGGGTCTTCCTCCTTCATTAAACTTCGAGACCTGGAGAGACAACCATAGCCTGTATTTAGGAAGTACTTGCTCTATCTGGACAGTGCTCTATGTCTGTATATGTCACTGAGTCTACACATTAATTTTTTATTTTGGTTAGTTGTGGGGCCTGAATTCTGGGCCTGGGCGCTGTCCCTCAGCTCTTCAGCTCAAGGCTAGCGCTCCACTACTTGAGCCACAGCGCAGCTTCCTGCTTTTTCTGCTTATGTGGTGCTGAGTAATCGAACCCAGAGCCTCCTGCATGCAAGGCAAGTGCTCTACCACTGATCCACCTTCCCAGCCCTACATAATCTTGTGAAGTAATTGCTATTACAAGTCCCCCTTCGCTATTAGAAGCAAGCACAGAAGGTAATTTGCCCAGAGTCACTAGTCACTAAGCAAGTCAAATTGAGTTCAAACCAAGCTAGCTGGTTCTAGGTCTCATCTTCTAACTAGAATGTATACACTATTTCTTTTTTTAAAATCAGTTGTGGGGCTTAAACTTGGGGCTTGGGCACAGTCTCTGAGCTCTTTTTGCTCAAGGCTAGCACTCTTCCATTTTGAGCCACAACTCCACTTCTGGTTTTCTGGTGGTTAATTGGAGATAAGAGACTCACAGACTTCCTGCCTGGGCTGGCTTTGAACCACAATTCTCAGATCTCAGCCTTCTGAGTAGCTGGGATTACAGGCATGAGCCACTAGGGCCTGGCTACATATTTACCATTTATTATTTAGCTATACAGTGCAGGCAAAGTAAAGGGCCATTAATTTGCTGGGGTTGGCCTCCTGATCTAGGATTCTGCTGGCACCCACCTTTGCAAGCAAGTCTGCAGGGGAAGTGACTGATGACTTGACTGTCCTGAATAACCTGATCCTTCCTGGTTCTGGGGAAAAGATGCACTAAAAACAGTGTGCTTTCTCAGGATCGTCCCCTCACCCCACGCCCTGCTCTTTTTTTTCCCCCCCTTAAAGTACTGGGGTTTGAACTCATCAGGGCCTTGCCCTTGCTTGGCCTATTGCTGCTGCTGCTGCTTCTTCTTCTTTTTTTTTATTGTGAAAATACCGTACAGAGGGGTTACAATTACATGAGCAAGATAATGAGTACATTTCTTATCAAGCATTGTTGCTGCCACCTCCTTTATTCTCCCCCCCCCCCCCCCATTGCTTCTTGAATCATGTCTTCAGCTTTGTTTTTCTCTGCTGGTTATTTTATCTTTTGGATAGTGCTAGGGTTTGCACCTGGGACTTTGTGCTTGCCAGGCAAGACTTCTACTACATGAGCCACACACCTCTAGCCACTGCTGGTTATTTGTGGATAGGATCTTGCTTTTCATGTGCCTGAGCTTAGTTTAGGCTACCTGTTGTTGCTGGGATCACAGATATGAACTACTATATCCATTTTCCCTCTGTGGAGACAGTCCAGTTAACTCTCCTACCCAGGCTGGTCTAAAACTGGGATCCTCCCAACTCAGTTCCAAATGGGTAAAAGGTGTGCACCACCCACTCAATCAAAGGTTAAAAATAGGTCTCTTCTCAACCAAAAAAAGCTGGAGTGTTAGCCTTGTGCACAAAAGCTCAGGGAAAGCACCTAGGGCCATAGTTCAAGCCTTAGGATTGGTTTGCACGCGCGTGCTCGTGCGCACACACACACACACACAGTTGGAATTAAGTAGCTCAAGCATTAGCTGTAAGTGAGAAAGCCAAGCAAGTGTATTAAGCCCTAGGCTCAAGCCCCAGTACCAGCACAAAAAACCGCAAGACACTGGGAACAAAACCACTGGAGATTGGGGTGGACTCCAATTATCTGAGATATGTTAAAGGTCTTAGATACCCTGAACTTAAGACATACACAGGGCTGGGAATGTGGCTTAATGGTACAGTGTTTGCCTATCATGCATGAAGCCCTAGGTTTGATTCATCAGTACCACATAAAAAAGCCAGAAGTGGCACTGTGGCTCAAGCAGTAGACTGCTAACCTTGAGCAAAAGCTCAGGGTCAGTGCTCAGGCCCCAAGTTCCAACCCTAGGACCAGCGAAAAAGAAAAAAAAAAGACAAACACATCTTCACAAAGATGTTTTACTGTTTAGGTGGTACAGAAAGGTCAAACTTAATATTAATCCTAGAAAATAAAAAGGTATTTCCTGTGCTCTACATTTCTAGCCATAGACCCAGCTCCTCCAATTACAAGCTCCAAGGATATAAATGGGAGAGGGTGTTGGCAGTAACTGTCTTGGGTCTAGTTTGGGTCAAGACATACTTAAGAAATTTAAGTGTCAATCTATAAAGCACAGTGACCAATAAAAATGAAGTAATAGCTGAGTTTGGGAATGTGAGAGATCAAAGCACTATAGTTCATTATGACTAGCTAGGCTTGGGCCAGGTAAGTAAGGTAAGAGTGACTCCTCTAAAAGAGGACCACTACCAGAAAGCAGTGTGGGAGTCAACCATATCTAGTTTTCAGGGGGAAACAGGAACAGAAAGAGATCTGATAAACAAAAAGATGGATGTATAAAATGAGTAAACTTCCTCAAAGGGCAGTTTCATCAGCTCACAAGAAAGACCTTCCTCCCTTGCATTTCCACATATAGCCGTGCTCCTCAGACACTAGCCATCAATGTTTAGACCTCAGACCGAAGTGCCCAGAAACCTGCAATTGAACAAGCTCCTCTAGTGAGCTAGGCAGCTGCGCAGACCAGACCTAGGAAAAGCTATGTAATGTGGCAATTCTCTCAGTAATAAGTTTGTCTAGAGAGGTATAAGGTGGACTTTCTTTAGTTCCAGGCCTCCCAAATTCCCTTATATTAAAATCAGGTAGAGGGCTGGGAAGGTGGCTCAGTGGTAGAGTGCTTGCCTTGCATGCATGAGGCCCTGGGTTCAATTCCTCAGCACCACATAAGCAAAAACAAAAAAGCCAGAAGTGGTGCTGTGGTTCAAGTGGTAGAGCGCTAGCCTTGAGCTGAAGAGCTGAGGGACAACACCCAGGCCCAGAGTTTAGGCCCCACGACCGGACCCTAAATAAATAAATAAAATAAAATAACATCAGGTAGAGCTCCAGTCCTTGAGGATATACTTTGGTACATTTAGTTGTTTTTCTTTTTTTAAACCAAATCTGAGCAGTTCTGATGGGTTTCTGACTATGAGTCCCAAAAGCCTTGTTTTCAAATTAAGGTTTTGCATTACAGACCACAGATTATTTTTGGGGGGGTGGGGGAAGAGTCAGTCGTAGGGCTTGAACTCAGCCTGTGCGCTGTCCCTGAACTCTTCAGCTCAATGCTAGCACTCACAGCACCACTTTGGCTTTTCTGTGTGTACTAAGGAATTGAACCCAGGGCTTCGTGCATGCTAGGCAAGCACTCTACCACTAGGCCACATTCCCAGCCCCAGACCACAGATTTTAAAGCCAAAATAAACTTCATGAAAATCTTACAACAAAAAAAAGTTTACCAATTTGAGGTACTGAAACATGTCATACAAGTCTCTAACTGGAAGCACAGGGTATGGAGATACTGGCCCTAAAAGTAAAAAAACTGGAGTAGTTAAGTCACTTACAGACAGAAATTGGATTAGATGACCCTTACGTGTAAAAGCCCCATTTGGCTGGGATGACTTAACAAATGTAAAGTATTGCTATTTTCCCAAACTTGGCCCTAGGTACTAGTAATCAGGAAGTTAGCAATCTTTGTGAATGAAGTAACGTGGCTACTACTGAGAACTTAAGAGAGAAGAAGTATGTTGTATTAGATCATTGAGCAAGGACAATCTGAACACCAAAACTCCTTATCAAATACTTACAGATCTTGGCTCTGTTTTATCCGATGAAAGTCCTTCAGAATACCCATCATGTCTGCAAAGCTGCTGGCTTTGGACAAAGAGAGGCAGTCATCCTCTTCAGATGAGCTACAGGTAGCTTTGTGTTCTGGTTTACAACATTCAGGGCTGGCAGAACAAAGGGGGACTGATGGAAGCTCAGGGACCTCTGCCTCAGTCTCCTCGGTGATGTCACTAATGACAAAGGAAGTTGTAGAGTGGAATGAGGATCCAAAACAAGGTAGGGGAGAAGAGACATTTGAACTTCCTGGAGATAAGAAATCTGGCGTTAATGAAGCCGAAGCTGAAAGAGAAAACAAGAGGTATGGATGGACATTGGGGCTACAATACAGCAGTGATATGTTCTCCCCACAGGTAATGCCTAAAAAACATATTCTCCTAAGCTGACCCATGGTATTGTGAGAGCCCAGGGTGATACTGTAAGCTAGTGGAAGGTACACTCCACTATCTTTCCCACTCAGGGGCAAGGAAGAGGGACATGCACTGGGGCTTTAACAGTATTCAGGAGGGCAGAAAACCTATCCCATAAAATCATGGTTTCTAAAAGTTTCCTTTCCATGATGGACTGTGGAGCAACAACCCTGTCTAAACTGAAGCAGCGGCAGGCAAGGCCTGTCCTTGTCCTGGTCCTTGTCTCTAACAGGGATAGTGATTTGACTCTGCTCTAAATCGCTGTGAGCTAGTGTGATCGGTCCTTTTTTTTTTTTGTCATGGGGCCTGAACTCTGGCTGGGCACTGTCCCTCAGCTCTTCAGCTCAAGGCTAGCACTCTACCACTTGAGCCATACCACTACTTCTGGCTTTTTGTGCTTATGTGGTGCTTAGGAATCAAACCCAGGGCCTCATGCATGCAAGGCAAGTACTTTACCACTGAGCCACCTTCCTATCCCTGGTCCAATTCCTTCCCCACACTCCCCCCCTCCAAATTTTTAACGGAGAAAATTTCCTCAATTTCAAAGTTCCTTTTCTTTTGGTACTGGGGATTGAACCCAGGACAGTGCACTTGCTAGGCAAGCAAATTTCTAAGTTTCTAGAAACACTTTGCTTGTCTTTTGGATGACAAAAAAGAAGGCAAGAAATGAATGGAAAATTTAAGTGTAATTGCTCCATAAAGCTTCTCCCAGATGAATACATGAAGAATTCAAAGGGAACATTATGACTTTTATGTGCTGCTCTGCGAGCTGACAAGGTTTTGAAACTGTCTTTGCTTTGGACCATGGAGCATCTTCAATCCTGCTGAGTGTCTAAGCCTCTGGTTAAGACAGGCTCGTTCTTTCTCAGTGGTCCTGCCTTAGGGGCAGGGGCCACTCTGGATGAAAGGACAAGGATGAGGAATGCATATTATACTGAAAAGCAAAGCTTCTGTAGACTCATAGGATATGTGATTTTGTGGCTAAGAGGGTATCTGCTTGTAAGGTTGTACGTTTTTATTCCTAATCAAACTGTTTAGCCTAGAATGACTGCTGGAAGTCATCTCCAGGACACTACAGACTAGCCAGCCTCAGGACACTCCCTTTGCCCTGGGCCTGATTCCCCTGAATCACCATTTTCCTTACCCCTTTCCTGCCCAGACTCTTAAGAGAAAAGGACAGTATACTGTAGCTCCTTGTCAAGGAATTCTACCTGCATCTGCTGCCACTATCTTGGCAATCTGGCTGCGCAGGTGGCTCAGCTCATCCTGCAGCTCAGTGCTGCGGCTTAGGGCTGGCAATGCTGGCTTCTTCAGGGCCAGGAGTCTCTCCTCAGATCCACGCAGGTTGGGCACCGAGGCATTGCGCTGCATAACAATCAGAGGGCTAGGCTTCCAGGTGTGTCTCAGGGGGCGTGTATCACTCCTGGACCAGGAAAGACAAATATGTCCATGACAACTGGCCAGTATCTCCCTCCTAAAATCCTTTTACTCCGCAAATTCTGCTTTGCTGTTGAACCCATAGCACTTGTTCTGTTGCCCATAGCCTCTCACAAAAACCCTCCCTGATGCTTGATACTTCCAGGAAGAAGGTCCCTGTTTCCTAGCAGGCTAGCTATTGCCTCAGCTACCTGACACGGGCATACGTTTCCTCTTCATCTGCAGCAATCCAGGCAATATCAGCCAAAGTAGGGACTGGGGGCACATCTCTCAAACACAGGTCAGAGATATTGGGCAGGGTCTGTGGGGAAAGCAAAATTTAACAGCAAACAGCAACCTGACATAATAAGCCAGTCACAAAACTAGTAGGGTAACTGGTGCACAATGGGTGTCAGGAAGGTTTCCTAGAACGGGTACAAAGTTCTTGGTTGGAATAAGAAGCCAGAAACAAGAATGTGGGATTACAGTTTAGTCTTCAGTGGGACCAGCCTGAGTTTTTAAATTTTTTTGAAATTACTATTATAAAGGTGACGTACAGAGGACGTTTCATAATGAGTACATTTCTTTTTGGACAATGTCATCCCTTCCTTCACTCTCCCAGTTTTTCTCTCTTGTACCTGGCCATAAGTTGTATAGTTTATGTTCAACATAGTGTCTATTGAGTACCACTGCTGCATATATTTACCCTTTGTCCCTCCTTAAACCCCACCTCCTTGCGAAGACAGAAAAATGAATGAACAAGACAAAAAGAAACCTTGGAATTCATTTCGATAAATAAGATTTTATAGGAGGCATTTTTAATTCAAAAATTTTTTGAGACAGAATCTATGTAATCTAGGCTGGCCTCATTCTACTTCTATTTCCCAAGTGCTGAGATTACAGATATGTATCACTATACCCAGCATCTTTTTGTAGACGTAGCTACTGTTTAGAACCATCTCATTCTCTTGTGAAAATGTGGGTATGAGATCATCAACAACTTGTTTTTATTTTTTTGGTCAGTTGTGGGGCTTGAACTCTGGGCCTGGGCGCTGTCCCTCAGCTCTTCAGCTCAAGGCGAGCGCTCTACCACTTGAGCTACAGCACCACTTCTGTTTTTCTGGTGGTTTATTGGAGATTGGAGTCTTTCCTGCCCAGGCTGTCTTTGAACCACGATCCTCAGATCTCAATCTCCTGAGTAGCTAGGATTACAGGCGTGAGCCACCAGCGCCCGGCTAACAACTTGTTATATTTATGGGAAACTTCTCCTGGCTAAGTCTTTACACTTTTATAGATAATTGGGTCTTTGTTTTTTTTTTAATTGTGATTAAGTGATTACATAATTTCCCAAATTTCACAGTATTGTGGGATAGTGATGCTCAGTTAAAGTCATAAACACATTCTAACTTTCCTGGAGCAATTTGTCTATCACGGTCTATAACATTTATGAGTTCTATGAACTTGGGTCTTTGTTGTTTCGTGCTGAAGACAACGTAACAGCTAATTGGGATTCATAGGTCCTATATTATAGGACTATTATTGTTTTAGACAAATCTGGTAGTTTGAATATTCAGATTTAAATAAGTAGAAATGATAAATTATACAAAGCCAGCTTATGTTAGGATTTCTTGAACTAGCCTCTCAACTCAAATGGATAACCACCAAGAAACAGAGACTGAGTTAAGTAATACCATGTCAAAAGAAACATTAGAATTCAATCATATGATTGCTGTGATTAAAACAAAATAAAAAAATCATCTAGAAAAACTATACCAAGACATTCATGTTGTGTCACAACTAATTAACTTTTTCTTTACTCTTAATAATTTAATGGTTAAATGTTTAAAAAATTAAGATTTCCTTAAGTATTTAAGGAAATTTAATTTACAACCAAAATCTGGAAATTATAAAACACTGAACACAAGTGCAGATGTTTCTGCTACAAATGGGTAAGTGGGTCTGGGTTGATTGTTTCTAATTTTATTTACTTAGGTTGTGGTGCTGGGCTTAAACTCAGGTTCTTACACTTTCTTGGCTTTTTTGTTCAAGGTTGGTGTTCTACCGCTTGAATCATACCTCCACTTCCAGCTTTTTGCTGGTTAACTGGAGATAAGAGCTTCATTGATTTCCTGCGTAGGTGCAATCCCCAGATCTCAGCCTCCTGAGTAGGTAGGATTACAAGTGTGAGTAACCAGTGCCCAGACAGCTCCTATTTTTAACAAGGAACCTGAGACTCTCCCAGAAGTTAAGTGATATTCCAAGTTCACATAGAATACTTTTCTCTGATCTCAGAAACTACTGCTAAAATGGGCCATTCAGGGGAAGCTTCAATTTACTTTCAACTTGCTTTGAATGTTCTTGGAAAATTAAATAGATTTACAAAGGTAGGTGCTTAGCACAGTGCCTGACAATAGTATATACTCAAGTAATGTACGCTGCTATGGCTAATGCTATCACATCTACTTCTATTTTTCAGAGCCTGTGTCCTTGTTTGCCCAGTAGCATCTGGCCAATAGACTGGACAGCACACAGATGTTAGGGCAACCTCCATAGTCACACCCCCAATTCCTCATGCTTCTGAGGCACCTAAGACCGCATCCTGTTGAACTGTATTGGTGACTGGATAATTGGCAATCTGAGTCATTAGATGGCTTCTACTCACACTGTTCCAACCCCGCAGCTGACTCTAATACTAATCCTGACAATTTCTCTCTCTCTCTGGGCTCGTGTCCTTTCATGTGTATATTTCTGTCTCTTCTTTGTGGATACAAAGCAGAAATAATTATGTCCCAGCTTCTCAACTCACACCTTAAACCATCTAGCCTGGAGTTGATGCCTTGCCCCGTGTTCCTGGATGCAGGCCTCTGGGCCTACTAGGCTCTCTATTGCAGAAAAGAGTCTCAGAGATGACCTAGGTCAGGCAGGACTCTGCTACAGAGTGGATGCTAATGGCTCCCTAGACACAGATAAGACTGAATTAGCCCAGTAAAGGAGTGACAATATTTGACCTGAAGGAAGAGCTGGAGACTTGAGGCCTCAGAGAAACATTCAAAAGTGGCCAAGTCATAGGTCTGTTGAGAAAAACAGAGATCCACTCCAGTCACAGCATTTAGTATCCTATGATGTGGGAACTTGCCAGGTTGTAGAAAAACACTTCAGAGCACAGACATAATCTAAAAGGTTTGGTTCCTCAAAGATTGTGACTTGCTCTGGTTAACGATGTTGCTGATGCCTTACAAAATCTTGAGATACCAGAGGCAACAAAGAAGGTAAGATGTAAGATTATTTATGAACAAATTGGAAGTCCATTGTCATCTTTTGTGGGTAGTCAGGAAGGTTGTAAACACATAGTAAATATTCCTTACAAAATGAAAAGAACAGGAAAGCAGGCTGCATTAGCAAATGCCAAGAGGTGTGGAGCACAAAGCAGCCCTGCACTCCCATTCTCGGAGCCTCTACTGCTCTTGAGGCACACTTACCTCAAAGGATGCCCGGGGACACGGCTTCAGGGGTAGATTGGTCCCAATTCTTCTCACAACACTTCGAGCAGCCCCATGAGGCTTGTTCTGCCAGATTGGGATAGTCTAGAGCAGACAGTCAGTCACAACATTGGTGACAGTCCAGCCATGGTCCCTAGCCTCTCCTCTCTAGCAAGGAGCCTGAATTCCCTACTCTTAGGGATGAGGCACCACCTGGGAGTGAGTCAAGTCTCCATTATGGGTAAGGGCAGGGTCTCTGGTTACTAGCTTTTGGCCAATACCCAAAAGGAAACCTGCTGCTAATAAGGCAGTAAATAGTGGGAGAGCCCAGAGAAGGGATGTCTCCCCTTTTCCTCTGCACAGAAAGGTAGAACCACATTGACTCTTGAGGTATTCCCAAGATCACAGTGGATTGTTCACTAGAGTAGGAGGTGGGTGATCCAGTTCTAGGGCTCCAAGTGAAATGAAGAATTAATTGGAGTCTCATAGATTTCAGCAGGCCCAGTGAATACTGGGCCTTCACCTTTCCCAGCCCCCATCTCAGGAAAACCCCTTACCACATTGGTTTCCATCGCCGACATTTCAGCCAGCTCTTGCACTTGAAAGACAAGGCAGACACTTGGCAGCTTGAGGAGGTGGGAGGTATAACTTCTTCATATCAGGCCATGTTGAGGAAAATCAGATTTCCTTGCCTGTGAAACAATCCCCACAGTGGGAATTCAATGGCTACCACACAAGCACCACAAAACAAGCCCTGACAGCCATGATGTCTGCAAGGAGAGAACACCAGCTGAAGAGGTTGCCTTTGCCGAATCCAGACCCCTAAAAGTTGTGTTCCAGACTTGCTGAGAAAAATTAACCAACCCAGGGAACCTTCTTGCACTGTAAAGTTTGAGTCAAAGCTTCCAACGATACAGACAGAACCGTTTGATAACTACAAAGCTGGTGAGAGCCAAACGAAGGTACCATCCAAGCTGAGTGCTTGAAGATATGAAAGCTAGCCTGTGTTGATCAGCAAGGTGTACAGGAGGAGCAACAGCCAGCCTGTGCTAATCTGTCTAACTGAGCTACAGGGGAAAGAGACAACTTCCTTTCTTCTAGGAGTGGGGGAGAGAAGAGAGACTGAACTCAAGGTTTCAAGTATATTAAGAAACACTCCACTACCGACCCATATACCCCAGCCAAAATTTCTGACTAGCTAGAAGGCGAGTCATTTAATCTTTCTGAATGTTGGTTTCTGTATCTGTAAAAAGGAAACAGGGCTGGGAATATGACTTAGTGGTACAGTGCTTGCCTAGCATGCATGAAGCCCTGGGTTCGATGCTTCAGCACCACATAAACAGAAAAAGCTGGAAGTGGCAGTGGCTTAAGTGGTAGGACATGAGCCTTGAGCACTGAGGCTTGTTGACAGTGCCCAAGCCCTAAAAACTAAAGCCTCAGAACCACCAAAAACAAAAAGGAAACAAAAGCAGCCACTTGAGGCTAAAAGCTAGTGAAATAGAGAATTTTTAAGGTACTAAATGAATTTTAAAGCATGACACAAGTGCCACCATTTTTGACTGCTTTCTTCACCTTACATGGTGAACAAATGGAATTGGCGAACTCACAGATTCTTCTTGTCCATCAAATACCAGTAACAGCCACTACTGCCATGCCCTATTCTGAGCATGCTCTCAAGAATTCACAATCCAGCAGAAAGGCAAGGCCTGAACATATTCTAAGGAAGGCTCATTATTGCTCCTTAAAGAGATATACTAGGCATGTGGCCAGTGAGGTGTGGGGTCGGGAAGGGAGGGGCAGCACCAGCACAGCAGGACCAAGGCAGGCAAGAATATCCTAAGGCTGCAAAGGTGGTGAGGTCTGGGGGTGTCATGGAGAACTGAACCTGGTCTGAACAGGAGATGGTCTGGAGTGAAGGCAGCTCATTTTGGAGACTTCCTTAGATAGTTCGTCCTGGAGTTGGCACTAAAGGCCCTCGTCTGTCCAATTCTGCTGCCTCCAACGTGGACTCCGTTTTCACACTTCCCTTCGAGCCTTTTTTTTTTTTTTTTAATCACAGTACCCGTGTGTGCGCCGCGTGTGTGCCGGGCTCGGCTCCGAGCGGACTGCCCGTGCCCGCGCAGGTTCGCAGAGCAGGGCTGCTGCGCTTCCCGGGAGTCCCGCAGCCACCCCTCACCTCCAGATGCACGGCCGGGGGCATACCATCCCCACACCGCGGATCCTCGGCCGGACCCTGCCCTGGCCGAGGCCGCCTGGCACGACCAACAGGATAAACCCCGGACTGCTGGGGCCCCTTCCCGGGCCGCGCTGTCCCGCCAGCGGCCCCCAGCGCGCCTGGCGCGGCGCTCGGCACCTGACGGCTCCAAGCGGGCAGTGCTGGGACGGACCTGCGTGAG